CTTCGTGCTAATAGAACTGCAACCGCGATAAAACATTAGACGAAAGATAGAAAGGGACCAAAGAAAAAAAAAAAAAAAAAAAGAAAAAGGATGAAAGATGAAGGAAGAAAGGGAGAAAAAGAGAAAAATGTAAGCGGCGGCGTGGTCTGTGCGTGTTTAGCTAGACTTTATTACACTCTCGTACTACACGGAATCGTCGAATCTACTCTGCTCGAATCTCTTCTACGTCGTTGTCGTCGTTGTCGGCCAAGTCTCGCACCAAATTCCCACCGCCGATTTGATCCAAGTTCCTCCTGCTGAACGGCAAACCATCGCCGAGGCCACGAACGAGAAATTTCCTGTCCATGTTCCGCTCGCCCCGATCGTCCGCGCTTCGAAGCAGATTCCCGCCTCCGATCTGATCGAGATTCCTTCGCGACGGCAGCCATCGTCGGCCGTCGAGGAACGACGAGGTCAGCCCCCGGCGCAACAGGTTGCCGCCGCCGATCTGATCGAGGTTCCGCGAGAACCGATCCTCCTCACTCGCGGCACTCTTTGCCGGAACGTTGCTCGACGATGCTCGTGGCGAACCTGAAATTTTCGTCGATTTCGATCGATCCACCGATCATCCGTTCACTCCACGAAGCAACAACAGCAGCGACGACAGTGAAGCCTTCGATCTTCGACAGTTGACCTGGACGTGATAGACACACACACACACACACACACATATATGCACACATATACGCACACGTATGAAGCGACGTTTTCAAGGACAAAGCGTGTGTTGTGACGAGGAACAAGTGTACATGTGATCGATCTTTTCTTTCTTTTTTTTTTTTTTTTCTTCTTTTTCTCTTCACTTACCATGACCGTCGAGAAACTCGGCGAAGAATTCCGGGTTACTCGGCCCGTAAAACTCTCTCCGCAGGGGGCTCGTTTCAGCCTGAAACCACAACCAGGTTGTTCGATTACGAAACGCCGGCGACACGCGACCATATTCAACCAACGATCACGCGATCGCTCCGTCGCCTCCGTCGCTATGATCGATCGATCCCTCGGAAAGGAATATTCGCCGATATTCTCAACTCGTTTCGTCTCTTACGATCGCCATTCGTCAAGAACAATCTTTCGAAAAATCGGAATCGCTTTACCAGAATCCACAACTCCGAGGACCGATCGATCTGCTTTCGTTCCCGCGTGAAATTCGTCAGATCGAGAGCGGAGGAGAAGTGAACTTCGTGCAATTAGGTGCAATTAGGTGAAAAAATACGAGTTTTACCTGCACGGTCGTTGCCCAGTCGACGACCATCGAGAGGACCAGGACCGATAGAAGAGCGAATGCACGGTGAGACGTCATGTCGTCGTTCACTCTCGAGATTCGCAAGTTGAAGCACCAAGGATTGTTGTTGTTGTTGTTGTTGTTGTTGTTGTGGTGGTGGTGGTTGTTGCTGCTGCGAAAATCGCGTGCCGTTTACCGGTTCATCTCGTGCTTCCTCGAAATATATAGGAGGGTGAATACTTGGTCTACGCTGAGAACGCACGCGCCGAACCGTGCGTCGCGGTCGCACGCGCCGCCGAAATCCATTAACCGTTACGCGCCTCCCATCCCCATCGACTTTTTTTTCATCCACCTTTCCTTTTTGTTCTTTTTCTTTTTTTTCCCTTTATGGCCATCCGCCGATTCGCTTTTTATCTAGCGTTTCGGTCTACAAACATTTCTCTCGTGTCATCCGCCAGTGATTTACTTACGGAAGTAATATTCGCAACGACGTGACATAGCAACATTTAGTATTTACTCAACGTGTAATTCCAACGTGCTTCTATTGTGATGAACAATTTGAGAGGAACCATCGATCGTGCACCGCCGATACGACGCTGGAGCAAGAAGAAGTCTAGTTTATGCGACTCAACCCTGAATTACGTGTAATACTATCGAGTGTCTGTCGACTCCTTTCTGAAATTCGTTCGTTCCTCTTGGATCTGGTTGTTACAGCTTTTCACTCTGGGGGGGTCTGGGCGGTCAGACGTTGTAACGTTATCACATCGCGTCACATTAGAAATATTCATAAGTAATGTCGTTTGCTTCGAATTTAATAAACGTCATGTATCGTCGTCTAGTGACGATAATTTAACTTGTTGTAATA